AAACTATTGTGCTGATATCTTTTCAAAATTAAAGCCTTTATTAATTAGGAGGTATTGTAAGTGAGTTTAGATAACCATGTTATCATGTTCAATGATGCATTAATAAATCCAAGTTCACACAATTAATTGGTTAGAGAAATACAAATATAACATAACACGTCTGTCTTTAAATTACCAGGCATCTGAATATCATCCGTAATTTACAAAGTCAGATATATTCGAACTTATTTTTAATATATATAAAGAGTATGCTATCGAAAATTCTATCAAGAAGCCTAATTCTAGACACATCACGATTTATTCGCATAGGGATTTTCGAATAAACATTTGTAAAGATATGTAGTAAAGCAGATGAAAGCATACTATATTTATAAAACAAAAAAATGGACAAATTGAATGTAATTATTTCCTTTTCAATTATGTGAAATAGCCAATACTAATCCAAAAGTAAACAGGAAACCCGCTATTATTACAAAAATATCCACAGTAACAAACAAAATAAGAAAAACGAAAAAAACTAAAGAATAGGGACAACAAAGAGAATACAGGGATTCGAACCTAAACCGACAAGTCTCTACCTTTAACTTGACTCTTTAACTCGTTGATATTAACCATGCTAACCGCGCGGCTACCAACTTATACTATACGATTGTCTATTATGTATACATAAGGGTACAAGCCATGTGTGTCCGTTGTAACGATGTGTATCACATTTTCATTTATATATATATAAACCAGACATATAAATTGCAACCCATTGGTAGCCGAGATGTTTCGTCGATGTGTTGATGTCATACGGATTATATATCTCCCAGTTGACACGAGACTCTAGGGCTTGTATTTCCTATCATGATTTCGTTGATAGAGGGTTGCTGCTCACAAGAAAGCTATTAAACCAAGAGTTCCAAGTGGTGAAGTTGAAATCATCTCTTCGTAAATTTTACGGACGCCATTACGAGTTGGTTGACCGTTACGGAATATCATTTCACAGATGATAGCGGATATGTTCCTAATGTCGTAACTACAATCCCATCCCCTTTTCCCGAATGTGACCAACCGAAGTAGACGTATTACCGGGTTTGTACTAACATAAGCAACACGACGGGTGCCACATGTGGTGCAGGATCTGCTTATCCTTCCGGAGCACCTGAGATCACCCTCAGTTTTTTGGTGGGGTTCGTGTTGCTCAGTCTTTAGTTTTTCTATGTTGTGTTTTGTGTACTATTGTTTGTCTGTTGGTCTTTTTCTTTTTTAGCCATGGCGTTGTCAGTTTATTTTCGACCTATGAGTTTGAATGTCCCTTTGGTATCTTTCGCCCCCTTATCGTTATGTATCATCTAGCATGTTTTATAAAAATTGTTTCTGGAAATAATTCTAACTTTCCGTTATCAATTTTCTAGTATCGCTCTGAATCTCATCCTGGTTCGGAAATCACACCAGCTCTGATTGATATATAATACAAGTTAGCTATTCCAAAAAGCTTGCCGTGTTTTAGCTTATTATGTTTGAAAATTGTTGTATTGCTTTGTATTTTCATCCATTCAGAATATTGCTCTGCATATAAATTATAATGGGGTGAAAAAAAGTGGAATAGAGGAAAGGCCAGTTTAGCATTTTAAGGGTTACAATTTTCTGTTTGTGCTTTGTCATTTTAACTCCTTGAAAGAGCTTAATTTTTAAATCACTTTCGTTTTTGACTTCACCCTTTTTATGAATCAGTTTTTCAGTAGACATGTCATTTTTTACTCTCTGTTTGAGAAAAGTATGATCAAGATCTTTCATTAATTGTCCCGATAAACCAAATCAAAAACATTTTAGATCACAATGAATCTTTATTATACCGGAAATTATTTTTCCTATATCCTACTGAAGCAGGTTCTAGTAGCGTATAAGTGTACGTGTACATAGTTAATGCGGGAAAATGTTTAAAGAGTAAATCGGTTTAAAGTCGGTTTTGAAAAAAAAAATGACAAATTGACAAGTTATGAAGTTGAGTAAATACATCTGCGACTCTCAGATCGTTACTTTCTGTCTTTCTTCTTCTTCCCGGTTACGAGTTGGACTTTGCAATTGAGTGTAATTGACTCGGGTGCATTTCAAACAGACAGGAGTCCACTCTTTGGCCAAAAGTTAAAGTCAAGGGAAACTGGATAGTATTTACATTTAAATCAGTAAGTGCGTATTTACAAATATATACACTGGGTATCCTGCTGTTTAGTTGAGATGTGGCTGGGTCCAGGAGATGCTGTTCAGTCTGGTCCTGAAGTCCTCTAATGACCCGGATTCCACTACAGATTCTGGTAGATCAATGGCAATTAACTGGTGTTGGGTCTTATAACACAGCACAAGACTATGCTTCCATCTTCCGTGCTGGAGTGATTCTCACTGAAGTTGATCCATTAATTTAGTTAAACTTCCTGGAGAGTTGTCCTGATAGCAGTTATAGACAAAGCGAGCTGCTTGTCTCCGTACTTCCTCGATATCTCGTGTGATGGTGATTTGGTGCGGGTCCAATAATGGAGAAGCATATTCTAGGTTGAGGTCTTACTAAGGTAGAGTATATTGGTCTTCTTGTTAGTTGTTTTCTTAGGTTTGAATCAATCCGATGCGTCAACTCCTTTTCAACTGGTTTTTACAGTTCTTACACAATAGAAAAGAAAGGATATGAGGTATCCATGCAGGATACAAAATCAGTACATGCACAGCAAAAACATTGAAAGCAAAGGAACAGCGTTTTTAATGATGTATGTTGCATTTTAACACCACTGTCTCAGGTAGGGGTGGGTTGGGCATCCGCAAACATGCTGTTACCCCCATCAAGTTCGCTGTGTGCCTTTACCAAAATCATGAGCCTGAATATCATTGGTTGACGTTGGTTGTTGTGAATTACATCTGATTTTCGTTTATAATTGTTTTGTACATAAACAATGACATGCCGTTTGTTTTGTCGTTTAAACTTTTTAACTTTTGTCATGTTGAGTGCCTTCATAGCTTGCAATGCAGTATGAGTATTTCTCATTTTTACGTATATATGCTATCGTATATGTCTTTTTGTCTCTGGTGAATAGCTACCCAGTGAGGAATCAAGTGAAAAAGAACAAAAGAAAATTCACTTTTCGTTTGATAGAGTCGAGAAAATCAATTATAAAACAATGCCGTTGACGATACTGATCAAAATTATTTCTAAATAACAATTGTACATTTTATAGAAGTTATTTGTTAAAACTGTGTTATTAGAAATATATACATGCAAATACACGACGTTTACTGTTCTGTATTTACCTAGATAATTGCATTAGAAGCTTGTGAAACTGAAATCTAAAAAATGTTAATCTTTGCTGTATAGTGATAAAAAAAATGGAAAAAATCATGTACATACACAATTTAAAGATCTTTCGGGTTAGCAATTTTCGGAGTGTTCCACAAAGTCCTTAGCATGTTACAATTTCCCAAAATAAACTTATTTTTCACATCTAAGTTTTCGAGTACACCGGTTTGCTCTTGTCACATGAAAATTCAGTATAAAAATATTTTCTTTTCGTGAATATAACAATATAAAAGTCTGTCTGTGCAGGTTAAAGAATTAAAAATAAAATTAAATATTTTTATAAAGTAGGTGTCTTTTTACTTTTTTATACAGTTTTAGGAAAAGGTCGTCTCGATTTTTGTACATGTATTTGCGGTCTTCTCGATCTATTCACATTCAATGTTTACATCGGGATGAGGTCCGTTTGAATTTGCTCAGTATCTTTATTTCAAAAGTGTTAATCTTTGCTGCATATCAGTCGATTCCTTTGGAATTTTTCTCTTGACTTTTTCTGATCTAGCTGCATATATATAAACGGATAAATAGCATGTTCCAGAGAGGTATACAGCCAGTAAAAAAATAAATTGAAGTTGGTACTTCAGGAATTTGTTCGCATAGCAACATTTTCAACCAATTTTACATCAAGCTCCTTTAGCCTGCTGTACTCATCGTTTTCGATTTAATGAGGAAAATAACATTAAATGGAAGTTTTGTTTTTATTTCAAGTTATTTTTTATTTTTACTATTTACCAGAACGCTTTCTCTTGAATTTATAATTGATAGCGTCCTTGGTAAAATGGGACAAACATTGTGAATATCAAGTTTTCAGTGTTTACAGGGGAGGTAATATTTTGTCACTAGGTTTCCCACTGTACCTCTTTGGCAATCATACCACATTATCTTCTTATTTTCATGTTATAAGTATCTGATTTGCTAATTTTCTGGATCGTTGCAAAACATTTACTAAAACTATGGTTTTGAACATTTGCCAGCACTATTCACATGCATCGATCAAAGTTCAAGTATATACCATTTGTTGTCAGAACATTTTAATGCAAACATGTACATGAAGCTGTAATTATTGTTTTCTGAGATGTTAGCAAACGGAGTTCGTTCCTCTTCATTGCCTTAAGGTTTCCTGCATTTGTGTATTTAATTTTGCTATTTAAGGAATTTTGCGTTGATTGCATATTTTGGAAAGTCTTAGTAAAATTAACCACAATTATTTATTTTTTTTAAATTTAGAGCTTGAAATATTGTAAAGACATGTATCCATTGAAGAAACCCGAGTGTTGACCATGTTTAGCTTTGGTGTTAGTATGGTTGCTGTCTTATTTATGATACCCTTCATCTCATTTCATTTACACAAATAAATCTGGCAACGCTTTAAATATTGTAAAAAAAGATATTTATCAATATAGTGTCAACATAATTTGTGTTTAAAATCGTAAATTCAATTGGAAACCTTTCAACTTCTGATTGTTCGTGGCATACGTCATGTCTATATTTAAAAAAAACAGTGTATTTTGTATCAAAATGTTTGACTATTTGAACACACCTGGTGTATATGTTGCTTCAAATCACACTTCAATGGTAATTAGAGATTAAAAAAAAAATCAATTAAAAAAATCAAAACGACAGAATTTTACATCTGGAATAAAGAGAAGTAAGAAAATCCCTTCATAAAACTAACCTTGTTATTATTATCATCATCCTTTTTGATCAGTACTTCGGCTTCAGAATTTGTTCCATCGCCTTTCCCATTCAATTCATTTTCTTTTTCCTTAACTTTTTTTCCACCTCTCCTTGATCTTACTAACCTTAAAATAAATTTTAAAAAACGTACGATGTTATGAATCAAAGGAGATATTGATTTTACGTCATAAGACAGCAACCCGGCGACGACATATTTCATATATATCGTAAACGAATTTTTCAAAGACTATTAAAGATCCAGACATTGTCATTTTCTTAAAGGAAACTAACCTCAGGAATAGATTTCGCAGCTGTATTTGGCAAAACCTTTCGGAATTTAGGGTCCTTAGTGTTCTTCAAAGTCGTACTTTATTTGGACTTTTTGACTCGAGCGTCACTGATAGTCTTTTGTAGACGAAACGCGCATTTGGAATACACACTTTATAGCCTGGTATCTACAATGAGTTAACGATGAATATACGGTCAATGCACAGTTGTATAGTATAAATTCAATGCATATAACATGAGAAATCCGCACACGTAATTGTCAAAACCTGGTGGAGTTAAGCCATTGCAGTGATTTAAATTAAAAATCGGTAAACGTTTTAAAGTCAAGTTACAGTAAACTGGTCATGTCACAGATTTTTTTTAAGATTTTGCATACAACTGCGGTAAAGTAAACTTGAACACATAAAAAAAATGCATTTATCTTCCTGTCCTTTTTTCCATAAATATTATTGAGTAATTCTAAAGAATGGATGTACATGTGTAAAGTAACAACATCAAATCGATGAAAGGATTCATAAAATTGCATTTAATTCATCAAATCATATAAAACTAATGCATATATTTTGATTAAAAAAATTGATATGTTGTTGCTACATTTTGCTGAATTTCTATTTTATTGACAACAAAAAATCACAGGATCATCGACTTCGTTTTAGATGTATTACCCACTCTGTAACAGTGTTGGTAATGAAAAACGCCGAACAAACGGCTTTTAAAGACGATGTTACGCCTATTTCGACGTTTTATTTTGTATTTTCATTTACCAAATACACCACTTTGACTGACGTATACCTTAAAAACGAAGTCGGCAAGTCTATGATTTTCTTAACATCATTTAAACGGCAATGTGTTTGGTAACATCATATATATTTAAGAAATGTTTGCATTTGGTATAGAGAAAGAGAGTGAAAGATCATTTTATACATTTCACGTACATTGTATACAAATGTTGTTCTATTTTAAGGAATTTCATTCAAGAATATTTTAGCAATTATAATACTTAAATAAAGTATCTTTTCTATTTTCTCTTGGAGTTCAATATGCCAAGGTCATATGCAACAATATACTAAAATCTGTTACATAGCCCATTTACTGTTTCTTGACCATGATTAATAAATTTTTCTATCCGTTTTCCGTCTTTCTGTACCAATCTGTTCGGCTTTTCGTATCTTTGCATATTACGGCTTTGTGACGTTATAAACGTTGACCCAGACCTATCACCGACGTCATACTGTTTGGACCGACGTTTTTTAATTTTGACCCGAACTCATCAAGTCCTCATCCGGTTTGCTGGTTAAACAAAGAAGAAAAAGAAGCGTTTTATGATTAAATACACACGCGCTCACTCGACAAAAATCATCGTATTATGGCTCGCAGCTAATTTGCCTATCTTCACCAGAGTTATGTGAACGCTATAACCTGTTAAATATTTTTTTTTCAAAATATTCTATTATCTATTAACATGCTCGTGCAAACATGCAAACATGACTAATCGAGTGGAATGTTCGATATTAGTTATATCTATTTGATATAAAATTGGTGAAAAGTAAAATTAAAAAAAAAACGAACTCCGAGGAAAATTCTAAACGGAAAGTCCCTAAGTAAATGGCAAATTCAAAAGCTCAGACACATCACACGAATGGATAACAACTGTCATATTCCTGACTTTCTATTGCAACAGGGCATAAGAGCTGTTGCAAGGGTTCTTAACGTGTAGAGAGCATCAATTCTTGTTATACGGGATTACTCAATGTATTAGTTTCTAGGTATGTAAAGGTGTTGTCTGCCTGTATTTTGTTTATTTCCGTCATTGTTATGAACTGTCAATTGTCTAGTTACTAAAATAACCTTGAAACCCGATTGATATGTGTTACTTCTGTATGGACCAGTGAGTAGTATACACAGTGCATAACATATTCTTGAACATCAAAATATATTTCTAAAAATTAGCTTTGAATTGATAATGATGGTCTGTTGAGAACAAAACTTTAAGACAAAAGAGAAGATTTCAGTTTCCAAATTGTAAACTTTCCATTTCTATGTAGCAACATTCCAGGAGCGCTGTCTATAAAGTATATATCTCTCAGTTAACACGGCATACCAGAACTTGCATTTCCTATCATGATTCCTTGATGAACGGTTACTGCTTACAAGGAAGCTATTAAATCATGAGTTACAAGTGTACCAGACCAATCATCAAGAATTTACGATCCGCTCGAAATTATTAGTCATATAACCGTCCAAACTAAAATGTAAATTAATAAAATATGAGAGACAAACATTAACTTGGGCGAGTTTCTCCCTGAATCGATGATCAAAAAATGGATGCATTTCAAAAAGAATATCCAGGGAGCTGCACAACCAGTCGTACCCCGACATTATTTTGAGCAGAGATCGGACTCAAACGAGGACAATATTGTTCATTTGTATAAGGACTCTTGCATAAAAGACTACGGCGCGTGTGCGTACATTGTGATAACGGAAAAAAAAGTTTCCTCGGAAGGGCATAGAACGGAGTCGCACCTTTTAAACAATTTACAATACCGAGATTGGAGTTGATGGCCGCTGATATTGTTACAGTCATTTAACCCATTCATTTTAAACCATATTAAAGGAATTAGAGAACTTACAGAAGACTTTACACGGAGATACTACCCAAGTGAGTTAAGTTCTTTGAATTTTCAAAGCAAAAATTGTCGATGCGTGGCCCAGATTGGTTCATAATAGAAAGATAATTGGTCAGCCAGTATGGATCAGAGTTGAGGCACAAACTTTATATTCTATTGTACAATAAGTAGTCGTTGACAATCATGTACAAGCTACAAAGAACACATATACAACACGAGGGATCAGCAATATCTTTGATGTGAATAGATTCAACTTATTCAAGAAACTTACTGCTTACGTGAAAAATTTATAACAATCTATAAAAGACGAGCGATACAAACATAAAAGCACTACTTAACAAATCACTGAGACTTACAAACAGGAAAGGGTTAAAACACCACCTTGTCAAACAGCTCAATGTGTACATAGATAATGACAAATCAGTTCGCTACAATTGACACATTCATAATGCACAGTTAGAAGAATGTAAAAAATTTCCGATATTGTAATCAACAAAGGACAATGCAACTTGTTCCAGCTTATAATCATGGACGCATATGTGACTCATTTACATCCAAGCTTATCGAGTAGCGTCGCATTACTTCTTCATACATATTGGGTACATTCGATACGACAAGTTGTAAAGAGCACTAGTACGTTCTATACATAAATGTGTGATCTGCAAGAAAGTTGCTAGTCGACTGTATTTGGCTCCAGATCCGCCACCAATAACTAGAGACCGACTTACACAAGCATCTCCATTACCAGTTACCAGGGTAGATTTTACTGCCGCATTGAGTGCTAGAAACACAGATGGACAAACCAAGTATATATTTGTTTTTTTTTTTTACTTGCGAAACCACAAATACTGTACATTTGGAAGCGGTGATCAACATTTTTTATTTGCTCTTCGTCGATTCGCCAGGAGAAATAACTTTGCCGAAAAACAATGATGTCTGACACCGCAACGACACATATCGCAACCACCATACCAAGCTGATTTGAGAACTAGCATGTTCATCACCAGTAAATTAGAAACTCAACAAGAAGTTTATACTTAAAACCAAAAAGAGCACAGTGGTATGGTAGCTTTTGAAAGAGAGTGATAGGACTTACAATGGACATCATGAAGAAGGTGTCAGAATGTTCTCTTATTAACATTGATCTACTAAGGACAATCATAAGCTAAAACTTTACCGGGGGTACGTCTCAACAGACCCATTAGATGAACCGCTCATCCATTACATCACTACCATACCCAGCAAATCGAGAATTGCATAATTTCTTAAGTGATATGACTAAATAATCTGTTAATAGACTGTCTAAACAAAATCATAGATTTTTCAAACTGAAACATGAATATATCACATATCTTTGAGAATATAATCGTTATACAAAGGTCAATAAACAGATCAACATTGGGGACGTCGTACAAATATATGAAGATTCACCAGGATCAAATGAACTCTAGTCGTTATCGGACAACTGAATGTAGGAGGAGGCGGACTAGCAACATCTGCTGACATTTGAACTAAAAATGGTCGTAGTCAGGTCCGATCACAAAACTTTACCAACTTTAGGTTAGATTAAATAGAGAAGTATTAACAATAAAAGTGAAGTAAACAAAATATAGACTGTGTGAAAGAAAAAACTTGTTGCAAAGCTAAAAGTGTTGTCATGTAGAAGATAAAGAAGAAGACTTCGTGAATAACACGGAGACTGTTTATGTGTAAAAGATGAAGTTCTATTTAATTTTTCATTAATTTTTCGTGGTTATCAAGTCATTTGGAAGAGATTCACTTGTTGTCGAGTATCAGGTTGCGAGTTACAAAAGTCGAGTTGTGAGTTACAAAAGTCGAGTTGCGAATTACGAAAGTCGAGTTGCGAATTACGAAAGTCGAGTTGCGAGTTACTAAAGTAGAGTTGCGAGTTACGAAAGTCGAGTTGCGAGTTACGAACGTCGAGTTGCGAGTTACGAAAGTCGAGTTGCGAGTTACGATCGTCGAGTTGCGAGTTACGAACGTCGAGTTGCGAGTTACGAAAGTCGAATTGCGAGTAACAAAATTAGATTTGCGTGAAAATGGGGAAAACTATTTAAATTTTTTGGTGTACCTCCTTAACATTTTTGAATGATGATTGCTTATAGAATTGTATACAGTATTGATGATTCTTTTTGTTCTTTGGACTTCATCTGAGTCTCGTGTAAAAAAAATGAAAGGATTGCTTACAT